CCTACTATATCCTTCCAATGCACAAGAATACATTTCAAAGGGGCTTCTTTGTGGGATTTCCACTGAGGCCCGCCCACCCATTTTCCAAATGTTGTGGTAACCGAGCTCTGGTTAACACACAACCCAAAAGGTATTTTACTTTATCAAATACCCCCAAATACAAAAGCACAAAAGCACAATTTCTTTTGTGCACCAAATAACCGGTTATACCCAAAAATAAAGAATATACTCACTTCACAACAATGGGGTCCTTGTCTGTCCCCGCAGTGATCCGGTGAGTCGAGGAGTCCCTCCGGGAAATCCCGGGGGTACCCTAGGGAGTCCTATCCTCCACGGGTCCTGCGGCGCGACAGAGAGGAAGTCCCATCTGGGTCGCCAAATTGATTCACGAATTTGTCCAAGTAGTATATTCTTTATTTGCAGCGCGCTGGATGCACGGGGGATCTCTCCACCTATCGTGCATGCCCACAACAAAAGTTACATCTCATTTATACAATTGAGTAATGAATATTCTAATAACGCCTATACATATTCATTATCTAACCACGCCTATCCTCGCTCCTCATGCTAATTAGTTGCATCTGCGCAGATCTTCCAAATAATTCTGGGCCGGGGTTGTTCTGGTGAAGGCTGATAGTCTTCCTCGTCCCCTTTCACCTAGTTGGCGCCAGGTTTCGCTGATCTTTGAATATATTGCTGACAGCTTGAAGGTCCTTTACGCTTATCAGACCGTCTCATTATCCACTTCACAACAAACTGTTTTTACAGTTCCTGTGTCTTCTATCTTCAGAAGGTCAGGGTTCTTTATCTTTAGAGGGTCAGGACTAATTGGTATGCACAAACATCTGCTCTTTATCAAACACATGACAGAATATAAATGTAACACAAATTATCTACATATACATGACAGAGTAATGATTTACGTAAACACATGGTTCACAATAATTGTCTAATTATTTGTCTAAATATATTTCTCTTGTCCTCCATCAGTAGACTGTTTATTGCCTAAGAAATACTCCATTCCTATTCAATTCTTGAGGCTATAGCATTTTGTAACATTTCATTTAATAAAAGCTTTTCACCTTTTGGCATCTAGCCATGGCCATACAAATGACAAATTATTTAATTTTCAAATACAGTCTAAAGAAAGGCTAGGAATGGCTTGATCCCCCACTGAGCTTGCATTAGTGGAGCCATTGTATAATGGGTCAATCATCACTGCACGTGTAATCAGAAATATTGTAACAATTAAGAGTTGTTCTTTTCTACCTCAGATTTGCAAGCAACAACAAAAAATAATGGCTGCACTTAAATATGGCTTGTTTCCGTTTGGCTTCAAGATAACCAATAAGCATGTAAATTGTAGTTTAGAATTGACAACTCTTTCTATTACTGCAAGCAGTAACATTAACAGTCTGACTGCTAACAAAGGCAAACCTTTGAAGTGCAGGTGCAAGTAAAGAACATTACTAAAAATAAACCTATTCCTTTAATCTGTATAACATTACAAAAATGGAAGGTTTATGTGATCTGCAATTTATTCCTGCTAAAATGGGCAAGTTAGAATTAAGATAAGGGTTTTTTTTGTTTCTTTTTTTTTTGTAATTTTAAATCCTTAGCTTCCTTTTCAAATTCCGTATTATGGCATTTCTGTGATTCATGGATGACTCTATTGGCAAGCTGTGAATTCCAGTTGTACTTACAAAGCCACTGCAACAAAAATTGCTGCACCGTGGAAGATCATCGTCTGTTTGGAAATCCACCATGGGATATGAAGTCTGTAAGCATACCACTTATGTAGCTCCAGTACAATGTAGTTACCCATTGTGACTGTACCCTGACTGGAAACAGGTATGTTGAACAGGCTGGCAGTGTTTGGAAAAGCTATTCTAGCTGGACTGCAAGGACCTAGTGAAAAGGGAGTGAAAAACCATCGGCATCAGAACAAAGCAAGCAGATACAGGGAAATACAAACTCAAGAGAAAAGACAACTAAGGTATAAATGAGCTTTTGTAACAGAGCTCACAAAGGTCTAGATTGTATGAGCCAAAATTATTTAGTGATAATCGAGGAAATTTCTATGGTTCAGAAACCAACATACGAATCTGGGAGAAATCTGGGAAAAATCTGGGAATACCCAGAGCTTCTAGATTCTGATTATCAAAGAAGTCTTGAGAATACTGAGGGAAAATGTGCAGAATAGTGCACGTAGATGTTATTTTTGCTTGAATCTAGGTGCTTCTTACACAACTTGATAAAGAACAATGATATTTTAGAACTTTATACACAACTGATAGGGACGTTTTAAAGTATGTTACAACTTCTGTAAACTGAGGGCATGTAGGATTAAACATTTGGATCCCCCTTGGACAAGCCTGTTGATTGTCCAACAGGGTCAGCTTGACCAGATGTGTGTCTATATTACTATTTGCTGTCTATATTACAATTCGTTGTTATAGTGTTTATATAATCCTGTATACTACAGAATTTTACAATTGCAGACAACCAGAGAAAATAATGGCTTGTGATGAAGACTTCGTATACTCTAGTGTACAAAAATTCAACAAAACAACAATAGTATGAAATGGAGCACTGCTCAGCAAAACTTCTGGAGACTCTCGTATCACCTCAGTTTCTTTTTAATGTTGTCATGGGCTAAATTCAGAGAAAAACGTTAGGATTTACATTTCCTACTGACCATCTGAATCAAGGTTTGGATTCAATTACTTTCAGTTTTGATAAAGGATTATCTTGACATAATTTATGAGAATGTGGATGCTAGAAAAAAATGTGTGTCTATAGGATTACAAAGCACAGTGTTCACTAATCAAGAGAAAGGTAAAAAAAATTACTGTTCTTTGATCAGAATGATGACATTTCACTGTTAGAAACTACTGCCTTGTTAAACAAAACTGGTACAGCAATGGATAAAGGTGGTGCTGGAAGAGTTTTATGGAGAAATGCCGTTGCTTCTCAGTGTTAAAAGTTTGCATCTTAAATAATTATGAAAAGATATATGGATATAAAGCCTTCACTGTATTTTTTTTTTTTATTACGAAGATTACTTACAGACTACTTGTTAGTTAAATATAGACGAGAACTGATCTAGCGCCTTCATATTTGAAGTGGTACTGCATGCTGTGGAGTGAGACCTCACTGAAGCTGATGAATACAGCAGTTGCTCTTTATTTGTAACAGATTAAATTAGAATGACAGGAATTGTCACCCAAAACACAACCCTGGGGCAAGGCCGATCAGAGCCCAATGGCGTGTTTCTGACTACCAAAATAGAGATCTGCATATCTTATGGATCACCATGTGTCATTATATGAGACAGATACAATTAAAAACTGTGGAAGAAGCAGAGGGTGGTCATGATGAACTAGCAAAACGCTTATAGAGAGATTGCTACAGAATGCTTGAGTGAGAAGGAGCCCTGTGTGACGTGCTCACTTGAAAAAAGCATTGGCTTATTTACTGAGCAAAGGAACAGCCTCCCATTTGTTTCTCCCAGATTTTTTGTAAACAAAGAAAAACGTATCAGAGAAATACCTACCTGAATTTCTTCTCATCAGGCAACCAGAAACAACCTGAAAAATGGTTATGCCTGAGCTCAAATAAAGACTAATAGGTACAAAAGGAGAAGCCCAAAGATGGGGGGGACTCCTCCATACCCATACCCGAAGGGGGAGAAGTGCTTTATAAAACAATTTCCTTCGCCAGGACCCATTTCTCAGAGCACAAATAGATCTACACTCATATTTCATTGTTCTGGACAATGAACTGAATACACGGAGACAAGTGAGGCATTTAGTAAGTCTCAGCGAAAGCTATTTAATACTAACTATGCATATATACCCATTAATTTTATTTCTTGCTCCTAACTATTCCTTTAAAAGCTCACTAAACATTACTCTTCTTTTACAGTGTTTAACCGACCTTTTCTGAAAGACCCCGGCCCTTCCCCTCCGGGCGCAGCGCTTCGCAGCGCATCGCTTCGCAGGGAGCAGCCGCGCGGCCTGACAAGGCTTAGTGCAGTGCAGGCCTCAGTGCACGGTCCGGGCTGGGCGAGGAGAGCGCTTTCCCGCCTCCTTAGCCGTGCCTCGTAGCACACCGCCTCGCCTTGCCCCGACGAGGTGAGCCTCCGCTCCCGCCAGGTCTCCGGCCCTGCGGGGCCGCCCCGCCGCCGTGTGGGGTGGGGGTCGCGCCTCAACGGAGAGGGGCTTCGAGATGGTGGTCGCCGCTTGCCTTGCAGTCCGCTAGTGCTCAGAATGGAGCAGGGGCTGTCACCCCTCTGAGGGAGTCGGCGCTGGCACGGCTCGTCAATACCGCCGGGAACTTGCCTTTTCCCCAAGACCCAGAGAAGTCTGCTCTCAGCCCCGGGGATTGCGGCGGGGAGGGGAGGGAAGGCGACCTCTGCCCCGCTGACAGGCCGCGGCGCCTGCTCCGCTGAGGTGGGGATCCTGGGCTGCCTGGGGCCTGCTTGTGCAGCGCCGTACAAGTACTGCTGCTGAGGCTGTGCGGGTACACTGCAGGTGACGGCCAGCTGTACCTATTTTTCCAAAATCTATAGGTAAGCAGTACTCAAACAGAAAAAAATCTCTGTGGTTAAATGATTAAAAATGGCAGAAGATACTACAAGGCAAGAAGTATGTAGGTGTGACACAGGATTCAGGCACATCGGGACAAAGCTATGAATAACTGAAGAAAAGTCTCTGTAAGTTCCCTAAATACCAAAATAGACTTGGCTCTAGTATATAGTACTTCTTTAAGGGACCTACTAGAAACTAGTGAACCATAATATATATTGCAAATACTATAATATTTGATAAATTCCTTTAAGCAAATATAGGTGTCCTTTTCTCCCTCCCTGGTACATACAATTATTAGCAAAAGAAAGGAAAAGGTACCGTTATCCATAGACAAACTGCGCACAAACCAAGAAGAAGAGGCTAAGTTAGAATGTCTTTCTAGTTATTTCTCTGAAGCGGTGCATTCAGTTCTGTGTAAATACAAAATGTTTCTTTAATTTTCATATTTAAAAGCTAGTTTTTTTCACTTCATTCTCCCCTTTAAAATCTGCACTCTGGAATTCCAGTTTCATTGCACTGTGAAAACCAAGGATCAGTGTTTTGTTTTGAGGTATTTTGAAATTATTAAGTGGGAAACTATATTCTTGTGCAGAAATTTGTTAGTATGAAGATGTATAATAGTACTGGTTAAATGTCAGCAAATCAGATGTAGTTACTGAGGTTTTCCTGGCAAAAGGAGTGAATTGCTTATATGTTAACCTATTGTGGAGTCTTGTGGAATGTGTTCTGAAAATACACGGAATCCCTTTTTTGACCCTTTTTGTACACCCAAATTGAAGTCCAGTATAGTTCTTAATGTGCAATTTCAAACTGTAATGTATTCATTTTTCTAACATTATGTCCTTTAATCCTCTAGTGTTTATCCAAGTTGGTGTAAATTATTGATACTGTAGCACATAAAGTAAAAATAGAAGAGTTCACCCAGGTTTTATTCCAAAAATAAAAAAATGCCTTGAACCAAGCAGAGCTATTTTTCTCCTGGGCTAAGATTTTCATATGGTAGTCTGGCTAGAAGGCAAGGTGGATATAGATTTCTAAAAGCCATTTCAGACCCTTTTAAAATGGAAGGTCAGTTTAAGTGCAAATGGATTGGTTTGGAAACACGGATGAACTTGTTCACTCTCCTGTGCTAGTACTTGCTGCTCCATGGTGTTCCACGCTTAAGAACCTGTAGGAACATTGTGTGCAGCAATACATTTGTGCACGTTGGAGAGTGAGGGCTGCTGTGTATTTCCTTCCTCAGAATTATGTGCTGTCCTGTTGATGTATGTGCAGAGTAAGTAATTTATCCAGTACCATCCAAAATCCTTGATTAGAAGAAATATTGTACCTGTATTACTGACTTTCTAACTACAGGGAAGGGAGATTTAGTGAGCAGCACAGTGGCTGTTTGGTTGCTTTAAGAGCTGCCAGGACCAGTTTTGCAGTGTTTTTGCCAAATGCATTCAGAGTAAGAAGTTCATTGGACAAAGACAATGATTCTTGCTGTGCTAATGCCTGGAGAGGCTCACTAACAAGGGGCTTGTCTGAGGAAGAGAAACGTTTTGTGTCGCAAAAACAGAAGTTACTGTCTTTACCAGCCCTCTGCCACTGAGGGAGTGGAGGAGAAGAGAGTAATGAACAGAATGCTGATACACTGTGTAGTGCTGTGAGGGTAATCAAAGAACATTCATGTTCAGGAAGGGGTTTTGAAGTACTGAAAATTATGGTACTGGTTTGCTTTTGTTCTGCTGAAAAAATTGGTTGGTGATTTTCTTTTTTTCTTCCCCCCCAACCCCAGTTTTAAGCTGTCACCTGAACACACATAGTGTGATAGGTTGTGTCTGTAGCTTCTCTTTCATTACAAACTTCCCTTCCCTAGAGGTGAATTCTAGTGATCAAACCCAAGGAAATACAAGAGAGGAGAAAGTGAGAGGAGAGGAGAGGAGAGCCTATGGATCAGCAACAGAAAAGGAGAAGGGGAAAAAAAGCCACGTACAAACTCTGAGCATAACTGGCCAAGTGAGCACTAAACTTTTTACCAATCTATTCTACAGCTGAACTTCAGTAATGTAGAGCCAGAGAACAGAAAGGCACCTTTGGCTTGATTGTTTCGGGGAAGTTGGGAATGCGCTGCACCTGCAGGAACAATCAGCACTTCATTCAGTAGGAATTTTCCTGTTATTGTTGTTACTGTTTAATTCCTTTTCATGAGATTGAACTGAGCTGTACTGCAGCAGAATGAGCAAGCTGCAATGTATCCGGCAATCATCCAGGACACAAGTTTGGAGTGGGCATTTTTAGTAAAGACTCCTGCATTACAGACTAAAATATGGAGCCACGTTCCTCATAGTGCTAACAGGAGGAATCAAATATGTGGACTCGTTTGCTGTGATGGATTATCACTATGCTCTTTGATAAAGCCATGTAGCTCCTAAAATGGGGAGGGGAGATAGGAAGAAGGTAAGGGAGCTGCAGCAGGAGAACCTAAAGGACAGAAGAGTGCACAATGAAGGTGGTGGTCACCCAAGGAGTTACAGTGTGCAGCGGAGGAAAGCACCTGTTCCGCTGTTTGTGGAAAGTGGGGGGACTGCTCTGCAGGTAGAAATGGAGAAGGAGCAACCATCTAATGCATGAAATCAGTCTCCTGCTAGTTCCCTCCTAGCTTGTTCTGCCTTTCGTGCATCTTTCACATCTTTGCACAGCTATTGTTTTGGGAGTTGGACAAGTGACATCATAAACAGTGGGGAAAGGGTGGTTTGTCTGGAGTGATGTGACTGCTTTGTGTGGTATTTAGGCAAAAGGAAACCGCACAGTGAACCTGATGTAGCATTAACAATGCAAGGCCTTGGGATTGACGCGCCACACCAGAAACCTGAAAAATAACTTGAGAAACTGCTGTTGTTTAATGATGCAAAATTTCTGCAAGGAATTTTCTCCTCTCTGGGGAAGAAAAGTTCTCTGAATAATGCATTGTGTAAGGCCATACATGCTTTCTTTGTGTCAAAGCCGGAAAGCTGGATGGCTGTGGCTAAAATGCCACTGCTCTGGGATAAATGTCTGACAGTGTAAGGCTGAGCTTTGCCATCTGAATGCTGCACAGCAGGCAAGAAGCTCTGCTGGACACAGCTGAGAATTGGCCTGTGGTAATGGCACGTGAGGAGGAGGGAGGAAGTGTGAGATTTTTCATTCTTTGCTACTGCTTTGTAATGAACAAGACATGTCAGTAGCGTCTTGCTGGCTGGTCCTCTTTTTCTCCACCCCTCATCCAGTTGTTCCTTCCTCAGGCACTGACTGTACCCTGCTGTGTGGAGAGGGAGTACTGATATCGTTGGGTGGAAAAAGGAGACATTTGCAGAACTACACATTTGAAAACACTGGACTGAGTTAATTTTACAATGTTTCTTATGAAATAGATGAAAATTCAGGAAAATGAATGCATCTCCTGATAGAGCATGATATGAATTAATAAACGGAGTAGCTTTTAGTAGTAGAGCATGTATGAGATACAAATATCTCAGAATAAGGGAAGAGTTAAAGCTAGCACATGTCCTTTTGCATCTTTCACTGTTCCTCTGCCCTTGTAGCCACTACTTGCTTGGTCAGAATATCAAGAGAAAGTATAAGGCTGTGGAAAACGGATCTTTGTTGTCCTTCTTATCCTGACGGCATTATGGTTGATGACAATTAAAGTAGCTGGAGTCAATTTTCTTTGCCTTCTTCCTGTCCTGATGGTAGTATATTGACTGTGGAGAGAGCTGCATTTGGTACACTGGTGAATGTGTTCAGCCCACCTGAGATAATGGCATAATTACTGCTATCACTCTATTCAGGCAGCTGTTTGTCTAACAGTCTGCATGGACACTATATTTTTTGGCTTTGCATGGACCTTTCTCACCTTACACACAGTTTCCATGATTCACAAGAAAACTCCATCTCCTTCAGTCTCCTGGTCACACTACTACTGCAGCAGAAACAATAGGGAACTGTTTACCCCTCCAGTTCACAGAGCAATGCTTGCACTAGCCCCCAGAGATTTCTGTGGTAAGCAACCTGAAACACTTGAAAGGGATGTAATTTCCAGGGGGTCAGTGTTTGTGGCTGAAAGCTTCAACAATATATTAAGTCGGCCATTTTGGTGAAAAAAAGATCTGTTTGTATTTAATCTGCGTTGAATTCCCACATTGTGTGCAATGACTGAAAATTATGTATTCAATAGCAAGGTCGACTGTAAAGCAGGTAGCACCTCTGTTAATAAATACATACATCCTGCCTTGTATTTAGCTGGGTTTTATTCATAGAAGACAGGAACTAATTGTTCATCTTCCTTTGTGTCTAAATGTGAGAGCCAGCCACTTGACTTTTGGCTGCCTGAGACTCAAACCTGGAGGGAGTTCAGAGCAAGGTGTAAGAAAGAAAGGTGAATTCCAAGCGGAGGGAGGTACTTCAGTGGAGTAAGCAAGTTAAGGCTCTCAGTCCCAGTTTCACAGAGGCACCATGCAGACAGAGTTTCAGATATGTCCTTTTCCTGAGTGATGCCCCCCTCCCGGCTCTACATGCTGGTCCTACTTTCTCATTGTTGTGAATGTCAGTTTAAATGTCCAACTTCCATGTGGATATTCACATTTGAATAATTAATATGAGTCCTGTGTCTCCCACCCCTAGAATTAGGAACCTAGCATTTAGGTGGAGCAGTGTGAAGTGTCCGAATAGACAACGTCATTTTTTGAATGCTGTCCTAATCATTAGTGTCTGCTGCATGGCATTGCAAGTAATAATAAGAATTCTGCAGAACAGAATACAGAGGAACTAGGAAACTCTCTCTTGAGAGGAGAAATTAATGTCAATTTTTCCTTTCATCCTGGCAAGGTTTCTTATGTTGGTTGGTACTTTCTAATTGCTATCAGCAGTATCAAAAGACACAAAGTTATGTAAAAGAAGTTCCAGCCTTTGCCCAGAAATCCGTAGATTTCATTCCTGCTGTGCTATGCCATATTCAAAGTTAATTGGATGACCCAATTTTAAACCTGAAATACTGTATGAACTTGGAGACTGTATCAGTGCAATTATAAGTTGCTTGAAGAGCACATCTACGGTCTTAGGTACAAAAAGCTGGCGGCCAAAACACAGTGTTGGAAGCACATTAGCAGTTAATGACTGAAAAGAGAGGTGACCAGTGGAATGGGAATGTATACAACTACCATATAATAAAAGCCAGATGTTTCCATTTTAGCCAAATTCTATTTTGTAACGGACTGGTATGAAGGCAGTTTAAGGGACTATGTTCATCATTCCCCTGCATTGTAATAAAGCATCGTGCTGCTTCTTTCCATATGCCATTTAGTGTTTGAAATAGATCAATTGAGCAAGAGTTCAGGAAACTCTCTGAGTTCCCTTTCCAAACTAAATCAGACTGTAAGTTTTGAATTTCTGTTTCATTCATCATGTGCTTTTGAGACCTCCTCATGTTCTTGTTAATAATTCAGCCTTTACCTACTCTAGGTTTATTGCTCAGAGAGATAGTACCTTTGGCTGAGTCCAGCATATGGCCAACAGGAGCTATGTCAGGTAAGGAATGCAACCTTTAATTTTTCATCTTACTCGCTTTTGTTGTTAATCAGCTTTGGAATAGAACTATAATGCATGCAGTCAGGTTCATGTATGTCAACAACTGTTAGCTTGGGTAGCCTGTTACTTTGAAACAGCTGGAGAAATGCCAAAGATCTCAAGTGTCTTGAAGGCTGTCAAGCTTTTGCTTTTTATGTTTGTTGTTGCAGCAGCTGAGAACACAGCAAGTCCTGAAGCAAACTGGATTAGGTAAGAAAGAATTTTTAAACGTCATCTTCTATGGCACCCTGGAGAAAAAACAAATGTATTTTGTTGTTCTGACTTCCTTCCCACAAAATAGATAAGTCCTTGTCTCATTCTGCTAACGCGTCATAATTATATTACAGATGGGCAACTAGTAGCTGTGAAGTGTTGCTCTGCTTGCAGCTGTATTTTTTAACCTTTTTCTTTTTTCTTTCTCAAGTAATGAAATTAAAGCTATCAAGCTAGGCAAAATAGCTGACTCCTGATTTCATCATAACACCAAGAACAGTGTGAAATAAAATTACTCACTGAGAACATGTAATTAAAAATAACAGTTACTGACTGTTGTTGCTTCTCAACGTGGCCTTCATACATTTGTAGCAGCACAGCTGTATTTGACTCAGGTTGCACTAGAAATGTTAATTCCATTCACGAGCGTTCCCTAAGGGTAGAACTGCCCCTGTGATTGTGGGCTTGTTCAGCCAGTTCTCTTTCTACTGACATTCAGAAACTACTTGCTAGAGAGAGACTTTTGAACTGAGTGATGCATGGCATCATACATGACCTCTGTGACTGGTAAAATTCTTAGTTATATTTATTAGGGAACTCTTCAGCCTTGTCTCTGAAAGAAAATACAGTGATTAGTTTCTACAGGCCTTACCTGTTAGCTTCCTTCAAGAGTGATTGTCATAAATTGTACCTTAAAAGCTGCTAGTCGAGTTACGAGTTTTTAGTGTTGATGGTTTTGATGATGGGCAGTGCCTACAGTATTGGAAGAGGAATAAGCTTTTACAACCTTGATACTATAAGAAAGAATGGATTGTGAAGAGTGTAGCCTGTACCACTTTTGTTATAACTCCTGTCTGAAGACTTGACTCATGGTATACTTTTTCCTGCTTGGGTTCTTTGCCAAAAAAATAAAATGGTAGCTCTCTTTCTCATCAGGATTCATGGCCCTGTCAGTGTCAACCTATTGTGGAATGAAACCCAGGGATTTCATTATCAAAAATTTTAAAAAGGAAAATCAGTTCACTGAGAATATTAATGCTGTAGGTAGCACAGTTTCCAACTAAGGATTTACACATCTAAGTGTTAGCTCTTTAAAAAAAAAAAAAAAAAGTTCTTGCATGGGGTTCTTGTGTATAGTAACAAGAGTAGCTCTTTTTAAGTCATTGTGATAATAGAGCTAATGACAAGACAGTTGGCACTGTCGCGCTAAGGTGATCTTCACTCTTGCAAGACAAAATATAGTTAGATTAGCACATTTTTGCAGAGATACGCAGTTATCCATGTATATAAAAGATTTGACTCCTATTAGCCAGCAGATGCCTGTGTCCTTGACAAAGCTGTCTTTGCAAGATAGATATATCTATAGAATGCACAGTGATGTGCACTATATGCCACGGTTTCCTCTCCGAAATGCTTTGTGACTTGCAGATATATAAATGTTTTGGGGACTGGGTGGAGGATCTTGGAGTGCTGCAACGCTACCTGCTCTGGTAAGGCTGTCCTAAGGCCCAAGTGTATCAGATTGCCGTAGTACCAAGTAAACCCTCTATTCTGTCCTTGACACAGTTTCAGCTCTACCACGGAGGCTGTACTGAACTTGTAGGTATGCAATTGTGCCTTATCTTTGCTGTCTTCCCAGCCTTTCCTCTTTCTTGCACTTAGACCCAGGTGTGCAAGTCTCAAATAGAGCTTGCTAACTGCAATCCTGCATCTCCTTGTTCCAGGTGTGCTGTTTTCTACTTATGGCTTTCAGGAGATAGAAAATTTTTGCAGAACAATTCTTTAGGAGGACTCTGTGTCACTAATAAGCAGCATACTGTAAATGCTTCAGTAAAGGCTTTATAATATCCTGCAGTGGGGGAGGTATCCTGCAAAGGGGGAGGGCACTTGTTTTACCATTGGCTGCTTGAGTCCAGCTGCAAGGCTGACACTAAATACATATTTGAGATTCATATGGAAATGGTGTGTTGTACGCAAAAATAGGCTGAGCTCTTCTTTAGGTATAAAAAGGAAGAGGCATCTCTGGCTTTTTTTTGTGGATAATGAAGGCAAAGATAGGAATATTTAGGGAAAATTTTCTTCCTGGCATTGAAATCTGAAACAACATGAAGTGCTGCTTAAAACTGCTTGAAAGAGTGCTGGCTCTGCTCTTTTTGATTTCCTGGGTAGGCATAGAAGTAGAAGGGTGATGCTGGTCCCAAGGGGGATCTTGTCTTTATGTTTGACTACTACTTGGAAAAAGAAAAATCCCATCTGTTGTTTCATAAATATTTCCTTGCGCAAGCAGAATTTTACTAAACTCTGCCAGGTGGAGAGTTTCCTGATTCAGTGTTCTCTGTTACTTCTATCCTCAGCTTAGGCATTGAGCAAATGTCAGGGAAAGAGCGAAATGGTTTACGATAGTTCAGCTATAGGAATAATTTGTTCTACTATTCTTTAGTGACCAATACTGTTGCTAGTTCCCGTCTCTTCCACGGTCTCCCTACTTCTACTCTTCTCTGTTATCCAGCCTAGCGTGAACTGAAGGGTAGAAGGGAACTGTAGTTAATTTGGGCCTGAAAGACAGGCAGGGCTAGAGGTTTCAGAAACACTTCTTTCTTCAGGATCTCACCTTCTTTTTTTTCCTGAGTAAATTTATCTGAAATTATCTAATTGGCAGTCAATTTTAACACAAAGTAAGAATTACCATAAACAGAGAGAAAATGGAAATTGAGAAATAGCTTAGTGTGGTGCAATGGTTTCCAGAGAAAGGGTTGCCCTGTAGGGTTAAGAAGGCCTGAGGGTCAGTCCACTGAGCACACCAAGACTCTGGCTGGTAGAAAGTGGTTTGCTTTCAAATGCTCAGCAGCTCACCCCAGATTTTGCAGGATCTGTCATCTTATCAAGGCATTTGTTTTAAAAACCATTTTTTAACAGTTGTTCTCCAGTATAGTTGCCCTTTTATTTAGAAAAAGGATAAATTATTGGAAAGTTCCCTGTGCCAGTTATTACATACTTTTTAATACATTAACTTTGAGATTAGCCAGCAAAACCTGGAGATATAGGGAGAGCTGAAGCTGTTCTCCTTCAGGTTCTTGATCTCTAAATATGTCAGCTAGGCAGTCTAGATACTACCTATGTAACCAGTATCCAGTTACTTCACCTCTGTCATGGGACAATCCTGTCATGTTTGTAGCACGTCCAGACAACCTGTCACTGAGCTATTTGTTACATGGTTGCATTTGCTCTAAAGAATTGATATAAAACCTGTTCTGAAAGGAAAAGAAAAAAAATATTGAAAGGCCCATTTTGGATAGACATTTTCCTGGATATGTGGGGAATAAACTGAGACTGAGTGCGTTAAGCAGGAGGAGTAGTAAAAAGTATAGAGTGGGATGGCAGTTTTCATGTCTCCTTGTATGTTTTTCACACTATATTTTAAACTTACTGGAGGGCTGAATGATAGGTGTGATTAATTCCATCTCACTTGTAAGAAGAGGGCATGTTTGGTGCATATCTTCTTGTCTTCGCTTGTTGTCTCATCATTTCTGTCAATAGTTACATGGATGATCTTTATACTTTGTGTGTAGCCTGTGAAGTGGATATAAAGATCTGTCAGACTACCTTTGCTAATACATTTTCTTCTGAGGAAACAAACCTAACATAAATGTCACCTGCAGTATGAGCAACTGTAGCAGATGGAGCATTGAATTAATGGCTCTGAGAGGCAAGCCAGGAAGGATTATGAAATGTGATAAATATGGTAGATATGGTACATGATTCAAAAAATTTCCTGTGATTAAAAATGAGTTCAAGAAAGAAGAGTATATCTTTAAAAAGTTACAGAGTATTTAAAAATCACCTATCTTTTGTACTTGTGGAAAAGTGTTAAAAAATCATTTGCAATTATATAGGGGAAATCCCCCATTAATTTAATTAAAAGGATATTTTTCAGCTGTGGGTCTTACATTCTTTTCTAACAAATATTTTGAATATGCTGAAAGGTAGGGAATTTGCTTATAAAATGCATCTGATATGATGCCTCATGTTTTGTGGCAAGGCCACTGTCTCAGTGAAAAACGGTTATAAAACTAAACTGATTGCTGTATTGAAAATCATATATATTGTCATCAAATGTAGAGGAAGGACCCGTGTTTGTCAAAGAAAGTGACTTGAGTTTAGCAACTGATAATAAATAGGATGGTGATGTTAGTGCAGCTCCCTTGCTGGTGCTCCTTTCATAAGTCCAGGGAACGGAAGCAATTTATATGCTGGCAGAAGATTTGGAAGGTCTGCAGAAGTCAGCTGACAACAAACTAAAGTAGTACGTCAGTGACTCATGTAAGTAGGGTAAGTTGCTTCTCACTAGTGGTAGTTTGGCCTCTTTCCAGTTTCAGGGGTGAAGGACTATCACGACTGACTGTAATAATGTATATGTTGTAATATAGAGAAACTAGCTGGTTTGATAGCTGGACGAAAGGTGGTGGCATGGTGATTTGTGATGGCATAAGGTTGCTCAGCTGAGAGTTTCACAGAGTTCAGCAGCACTGCTGAGAAAATGTGCTTGGTTTCACACTCCCTCATAGCAGCAAACTGGCTGCTGTGAAATGTACACCTTCTTTTGACCGATCTGTGAAAAGGCATTTGGAACAGAAAATTCATCCACTCTCTGAGCTGGAAGGCGAGTGCTCTTTGTGACAGGCTGAAAGACTGGGGATGTGACATGTACAAGGAACAGCTAAGAATGCAATTTAGAGTACTTGTTAAATCAGATAATGTCCTTTCAGCTGTAAACAGTTGTGATGAAGAGTCCACACCCTGCTCCCCCCTTTTTTGTAAAATTCTGTAATCCATTGTGCTGCTTTTGCCTCTTTGCATGTGCTGGGCATTATTCTGTGCTGGTTGTTGCAGTTGATAAGCAGTTTTACATGCTGATCTTGCTTGAGTCAGAGTTCACATGCCTGTCTGCTGCAGGTCTGTTTTCTCCTACTGTTTTGGATTCCTGAACAGCTTTGTTATGTCAGAGTACAGCCCACTCAAGATAAGAGTCATGGATGACTTCAGTTGCTGACACAATCTAATTGCCTTGTCAAGGATTAATTCTGGATTTTGCGGTAGTTTCCTTTCAAGTGATCGCGGTAAGATCTTTTATCAGGGACTTATTTAACGCATAAACTTCCATGATTATCTTTTCATCTTTTGACAACCACATTTTTTAAGTGTTTTCTTTGTACACATAGATAAAACCAAACCTCTAATGGATTTCATTTGTACATGGAGTACCATATTCCTTCTGGTTTTGTGACATTGCACTGTACTTCCTTTTTACATCTGAATTAGCAAATACATCAACTGCTTCAGAATCTGACTGTCATCTGAAAGTTTTTCTTCATTTTTCACTGGCATTCAGTAGTTGAAGGTACAGAATGAACTGTGGTTTACAACACCTCATTTTTCCTCCTCCTTTTTTGTTCCTGGAGCCCAGGAGGCCAGTGAATCATTTCTGAAATCACTGTAGGTCTGAGGTCCTTGAAAGAGAAAGTTATTGTTCAGAGAACAAGTCCAGCAGAACATGGCTTTCTCTAACCTGTCCCTGTCAGAGGGGTATTTTTTTTTTTGCCCTTGACACTAAGATATATGAATTTGCAGTTTCAAAATCACCAGTCTTTGTACTTTGTGGCCTTTTCCTGGCTGATCTTTCTCAGTAGTGATGAGAGGAAAGCAGTGTTCATAGTCTGTAATGTTATTTCCTAGTGTTTGCAGTAGTACCTCTGCTTCCAGACTCATGAGAGCAGTTTCCCCTGTGTTCTGGCTGAACTAGGCAAGGGATCTGTAGTCTTACCTGGGAAATGCTTTGTTACAGCATCCCTCAAAAATAGGATTGCATGCTAAATCAGTATCTAACTCCAGCAACATTCATTATTATCACATGCAGCCTCTATTAAAAGACAGTTAAATGAGACGCATGCCTTGATCCCATTTATGTGTCTGCTTAAAGTATGGTTGTTAATTTACAACATAACAAATATATAAAAATCTAAATGTTAACATATAGAGAGGCTTTGTCTCTGAGGTTTGACCATTTCCCAGCTAATGTTATGCTTCACAATGGACTAACAGATTGTGAAAAGTTGAGCCAAATGTGAATACTCAGTAGTGTGAGAGGAAAGCAGTGTTCATAGTCTGTAATGTTATTTCCTAGTGTTTGCAGTAGTACCTCTGCTTCCAGACTCATGAGAGCAGTTTCCCCTGTGTTCTGGCTGAACTAGGCAAGGGATCTGTAGTCTTACCTGGGAAATGCTTTGTTACAGCATCCCTCAAAAATAGGATTGCATGCTAAATCAGTATCTAACTCCAGCAACATTCATTATTATCACATGCAGCCTCTATTAAAAGACAGTTAAATGAGACGCATGCCTTGATCCCATTTATGTGTCTGCTTAAAGTATGGTTGTTAATTTACAACATAACAAATATATAAAAATCTAAATGTTAACATATAGAGAGGCTTTGTCTCTGAGGTTTGACCATTTCCCAGCTAATGTTATGCTTCACAATGGACTAACAGATTGTGAAAAGTTGAGCCAAATGTGAATAATCACTGAAGTGTGTTATGGGGCAGGTGAGTCTCTTCACGTCCAGCCTAAAGCCATTAGCCTTTCCAGAAGGTGGCAAGCAATAGTTTGATGGAGGAACGGATTACTCCTTTCTTAGATAAATGACTAGTAGTTTGTGTTTTAGTGGAGTGGACAAAGGTGAACTGCCCCAGAGATGGGGATGGATTATAAAGCAAAAATGGTTGCCAAAGTAGGATTCCCTTCTGTGAGGGGCATGAGAGC